TGAACCATACAAAGTTGAAACCTTCAAGTCACAGAAAGTGAAAACAATTGATGGAGCAAAATTATCACCAACTGATACGTTGAATGGAATGGTGACATGGGCAACTCACTACATGAAATTATCCCAGGAAGTTTTCTGAAGCACCAAAATTTAATTTCAAGCTAAATCAGCTACTTCTACATTGGAAACAGAGCTTAGACTCTTAAATTATTCCAGACTTTTAAAGGAATTTTCACCACTTGAAGCCAAGGAGAAGTTATATATGCAGTGTTTAGGGTTTTTTTCCCATCCTTCTATAATCTTATTTCTTCCACCAAGGAAAAAAATAAACCACTCACTTAAATCGAGGTCCAATTGCTGCCACATGCCGATTCAAACTGCCTTTCGCCCCTCCGATGTTCAGTGAAAGAGATCTCTGGAGCAAGCTGGAGAAGATTTCTATTTGGTCAGAACTGCAGTATTTGGCTATTTCAAATCTCTGCACCAAAAACTGAGAAAGAGAGAAAGACATGTCAGGCTTCCTTTGACCTCTTTTCACCTCAAAAGTAACCCAGTCTTTTCTGTTTCAAACACCTCTCTCTCCCTCAGTTATTACGCTCATCTAAAAGGAGTGTCTCCTGGCGGGGAGACAGCAGGACCACCGTCACGACTCCACTCCCTTCCTGAATCACGAGAAGAAACAGTGCTGAGCAGCTCCATCACAGCATTGCTGCAACCCCACCACCTGTGGAATGTCCAGAAGCAATACACACCTCTATCCAGATGTAATGAGGGGTCACCTCTGGCGGACAAGGCTTCGGCTGGCTCTCCTCTGAGGCTGCCAACGGATCTGCTTCTTTCTGCTCAGCAGAGAACAGGCCAACTTTCTGCTCCACTGTCATTTGCCAGGCTCCTGCCATCTCCCGCATGAACTGCAAAAAGGAAGATAAGTGTTCCTTATTTCAAAAGCATCTTCTTATATGGCAAGCACATCTTCCTCCATAGTGCACACAAAAATCTAATACATCAATGAAAATTTACTGCATTATTAAAGGAGAGGCAGAGACAGGTCTATACATCCCACTTGATAAAAAAAAAAAAAGGTTCTTTCACATCCTAAATTACAAAGGGAGTAAAGGTTTCCCTAGAAGTCCAGCTTGTAACAGAGACACTAAGGGCAGCAGCAGACAGGCACTGTATTTTGCTGAGGAGCCTGAACTGTTACATCAGCCGGTGCTGTCCACCCTCCTGCTCTATTGAAGGTTACTGCCTCCACCACCAGGACAGCAGAGACAAGCGTATGCCAGGTTCTCACATCCTGAGGACACGCTCTGGCCCAGGAGCACACACAGCTGATGAAGCACACAACATAAAGATGGCGCAAATTTCCCTTCTTCTGACCCTGCTCCAGGAAGCAACATCCTCTGATAGAGAGGAGGCCCACCAGCAACCAGGGGTGCTTACCTCATCTGCTCAGGAAGTTAAGCACTGAAGTGTGCATGTACACTCACCTAAGTAAATTTAGATTGATGATTATCTCCAGCAAGTGGAACCCTTAGTGTTCACTAACTGAAGCCATTACCAGAGGCGGCTTTCTCAGCTGTGTGTAGGCTGTCACTACACCACACTGAGTTGCTTTATCACTATTAGACTCATCCCACCTCACAAAATACAGCTGGTCTAGCTTGTTAGAGGATCAGGACACTTGCAAGCCTATTTTTAATGCAAGGGTGCAATGCCAGATACCAGAGGCTCAGACTGATGAGCAGGGGCATTGATTTCTATTTGTTTAAAAACACCATTCTATATAAACGGTGGTAGTTTAGAACCTGATTCATGAGCAGCTCAGGCACTTCAGCACCAAAGTAAATTGTACAGCTGAGATCCTAACAGATTTCCTTTGCTGTGTTTTTTTCGAGAAAGATACGTTTCCCACAGTCCACTTTGTGAGGGTGCTCAGACTTCCAGTAATATCTGAACAGAAATTTCCTGGCAGGCTAAAGTGATTAATCATGTTTTTAACATCCTTACTTGACACAGATTCACAATAGCTGTGAAACTCTCAATATGTTCTCTCTTCCCCTCTTGCAGAGGCAGAGAAAAAGTTGCTAAACAGCTTCCTACCGGCACTTCTATGCCATCCTTGGCAGCAAGCAACCACTCCCAGCAAGCAATTGCTGTTTCCATGCCATGTTCATTGAACATTCGCAGGGGTCCCCAACACAGATGATGAAGGAGCTGGGGATCACAGTCTGAAAACACAAACATTCAACTCAGATTTCATAAATGCTTTTCACATCAACATTAAATTCGTGTGCACAGCATGGAATAATCAATTCTTAATAAATAGCTTCTAGTTTAAGAATGTTTTTCCCCAACATCAGCCTAACTGAAAAAAACCAAACCACAGTTTTGCTTCCAAGCTGGTGCATACTGGGTTTGCATACGAATCGTTTTTGTAGTTTATTATTCTTGGCATTCACATTCAGAAAGCAGAACTCCATTTTTTCTCATTACCTTTGCTGCTTATTAGCAGTGCAGTCAACTTAAACATGGCCTGGGTGTAGAATTCAGCATTGCCTGATTCAAGAGCATTATTCAGCTCTTTCACCATCAGTTTATTCAGGTCAGATGTTCGGCCTGTAGTATTTGAGAACTGAATCATTCCAGAAACCTGTAAAACATGACGGGGTTTTCAACAGAGAACAGTATTGTTAGGAATCTAGTTTGGTATTGGTCATGTGCTGAATAAGGAATTCCACACAGACATCTTTTGTTACTACTTCACTAAATCTTTAGCTGCATCTGCAATCTCAGAACTTTCTGCAAGACTGACAGTAACACGATCTGTTCAATAACCCAGGAAAATTACACCCTTGATCATGGAGGACTTTAACTTCAGAGCCTGTGCTTGAAATAACTTAGAACCACAGAATAGCTTAGGTCAGAAGAGACGTCATCCCCTAAAAAGCCATGCCAGAGCTTGCGGATGCTCCTGAGAAATCCTGGACTTACCTCTCCTGCATAGCGGTTGCGTAAGTTAAGAGAAGCCATGAAGTTGGAGTAGTCCTTCTTCACACAAGTTGGTCTTTCAGTCAGCTGGGTTGCCTATAACCAGACCACACATAGCCCTTTATACTGTTCATATCCAATCACTAGTCTTTTTTTTAAAAATTTTATTTATGCATTTACATATGTTTTAAGTTCAGTTTTCCTTATGCTAAAAAACAGACTAGTATGATGACTATTGGGTATAACAGTACCCAGACTGAGAAAAACGAAATAAGGAACATTTGCATTAATTCCATTTATATCATTTGAAATATCCAAATATTTGCATACATTTTTTTGAAAGACCAAAAAAAATCAGTAAATGGTACAATCTCTGGGACTGCAGCTCCCTTCTCATGAACAGCTCCAGAAGGAGACAGAAGAGCAGTACTGCAGAGAGAGTATTTTGTTCCTGCCTTTAAAAAGTACACTAGTAATCCATGTTTCCCTTTGCAGAAGCACTCAGTAATCTCTGCCTCAGAGGTTTATTGTCAAAACCAACCAATCAAGCAGATGAGTCTTTCTACTGGAAAATGAATCTTTCATACAGAAGATTTAATTATAAAACACAAGGCCAGCAAAATCATAAAAAATTCCACATTCCATTGCTTCAGTACTGCTAATAGCTAGCTCGGCTCAGCGACGGATAAACTTTTGAGAACAATTCTTGTTAGGTCTTGACAGCTGCACGGCTGCACAAACGGACAAGGGCTGTGCCCAACACTCACGCCCAGAGTGGTGTTCTGCCGGTTGTAGCCTGCGAAGTGCAAGACGCTCTCTGTAGCCATGGCCAGTCCTGTGTGCTGGGACAAACCTGACACCCAGTTCTGATGCTTGTTTAGGTACTCCTGACAAAAAAACAACAACAAACCAAAAAAACTGTGACAGAAAACTACTGTGTTTTTCAAAAAAAAGGCAGCTCCTAAGCAAGTGTTGCATCACAGAAAACTATTAGAAAACTTCATTAAACACCTAACAACAAAGAGACGGTCTCTACTCCCTTTTAGGCAATGCTCCCCTGGCAATAAGCAACTCTGGATGTCCTCCTAAATACATAAAATATATAATTCTATATAAGTTAAGTAACTCTTTAGTTGAGACACATTCCATTTTGTAAAAGGACAAAGTGATCAAGATACTTGAAGGCTGAGATCTTTAAAAAGAATCACTTTTCACAAAAGCAACCTAACAAAAGGAAATGATGTGGACTTCAAAGAAGGGACTATATTACCTCTCCTATTACATAAGGAGAGAATCCCTCAGGGTTC